TCTGTCCATTTATTGGCAGTGTGCATTTAATGCTTTGGTTCTCTCTGTGCTCAAATGACAAATCATTGATCATCGTGTTAAACAACAGGGTTTAACACTGTTATTAAATCTACAAACTAAAAATAATGTAGCCACTGACTGAAATTATTGGGCTACTTTGAATGAAGTAGTAGGCTGGAAACAGAAATGTAAATATATCAATATAATATATTCATCTAAAAATTACCTGTAAACATGATATTTTTGTCATCCATGGTGGTATAACCACAGGATTATAAAATTTGATTAACTTGTCGCAGCCTGATCCCTGTTGAAAAACTCCCTCTGTTCAGTGAACAGACAAAAATGACAAATGACAAAATCACTTAGTTAAATCAGTTTCCTGACATATCTGAGGGAGTGAACTATAGGTTAAATGGGTTCACTGACTCCAGTTCTGGACATTTGTAAAAGGAACAAGTACTGACAGATTGTGGTTACACCTGTTAATAGCTGGTTTTGAAATGCCTAACTGTATTTTTTACAGTATTTATGCTGAAGAGGTAATATGTACAGCATTATTCTAAGTCTTACAAATCGTATTTTAATCTATGCCTATCTAGTTCTCACATTGCTCGTCATTAAAAAGTAATAAATTATTCGCTTAAGCTAACAAAGAGTTCCTTTTGAGGTCAGACTTTCTAGGAAAATGCTATACCAAAAATCTACCAAATGTCAAATCTAATTAGCTAGCATGTCCGCACACGCCACCACCTTTATACTGCAATTGTCAGAGATGCCAGTTTAATTTGTACATGCACTGTTTGAAGATATAGATTTTACTTAATAAGGTTTTCATAACTGAGTATATACAGATGACATGACATTTCCAAAACAATAAGACATTCTTTATTACGGCAGTACAATGATGTTTGGGTATTCCCATTGCCAATATGCAAGATAATTAGATATACACTACAATCTTTTTTAGAATGTATAAAATATAATAACAAAAAGGGTAAGTAAAGACTTGCATCTGCACTGCCTAAAAGGTCCATCTTTCAGTTCTGGCCTCAATAGATTTGACCAAACCATTTCCCAGGATCTTGAAGTCCTCCAGAATTGCTTCCACGTTGGGAACTGTCTTTACATCGTCTCCATTGACTTCAACAGTCCGGGCTGACATCTGTGAGGTCTGCATGATATTCAAACAGATATTTTCAGTTTCAAGAGTATGTTTTTTTCTTTCAGCTTGTGGCACAGATTATGTTTATTGATTGACTAGAATCTAGTCCTATCCTGCTATATCGATCTCTCTATAGCTCTATGTATCTCTCCATCCATCTACCTGTGTGTCTCACACACACAGTTCGTTTGTTCTCTATTCATATTCTGTTTAACCTTACCTTGAATAGCAATGGTGTGAAGGCTTTTGGTTTCCATAAAACAGCAATCACTGTCCCACCAAAAGGATCACAGAAAAACAGGGCCAGATCTCCAAAAGATTCCTACAGGAGAGTATTTGAAAACATGTTAAATGTTTCTAAACACAATGATTTATTTGCCAAATATCAAATTGACAAGTTAATTATAGCAGTGGGTACGTTTTGTATAGTATTTTGGCTCTTGTGAGTCTTCCTAATGCTTTCTTCTGTTCCTAGAAACTCCTAACTGTCCATTTGAATTTATTTTCTTTACACACCGCAGAACAGACTGTGTTGTTATGTACTTTCATTGACTTAATCCCAATCTAGTTGTAACTTGCTCCAACTTTCCTTGTATCACTGCCCAATTCTAAGAAAAAAGGAGCAAGCATGAAAACAAGGAAGCCGTCTCCAGGCTAGATGTTGATCTGATGTGAATTTAAGTGTGTATGCTCCCGTTGTCCTTGTGTTACACTTCCAGATCATTGTGTCAAAATTGGCAGGAAGCATGAATGAAACACAGCACTGTACACTTCTTCCTTGCTAAGGACATAAAATATTGTAACACTGATTCATAATAAGGGCTGGTGAAAATTTTATTGTACTCTGATTCTAATGACAATATGGTATTTTGGTGTAATCAACATGCCATAAATATTCAGTAGCTCTATGCTTAAACACACTTTTTCTTAAAAATGTCCCTAAACACTTTACACACACTCGAAAAAACCTTTTGGCATACAGCCCACCGCTATTTACTAACATTCAATCTAACAAACTGTCTAACTTTGTGGAAGACTTACTCTGAGCTCGTTCAAGTAGAGGGCGACAGGATTGTAGTCAACCACAGGCATGGCTCCGCCTGACTGTCCCACAGAGCCCATTGTAGTGCCCCTTGTGAAGGTGACAGCAGACGGGTCCACAGCTTGGCTCAGCAGTGGAACCTGCTTTGGATTTAAGTGAATCAAAACATCATAGGCCTCCAGAGGGGGGCGCATGACAACCTGAAAATAAATTGTAATAAAATTCAAATATTATCATAAAGGTAGCAAATGTAAAATCATTCTGGTTTGTACTGACCCTCACGTCTTGCGTCTCCTCGCTGCACATCATCTGACGCTCCAGTACTTTCAGACTTTCTGCAGCAACCGTAATAATACGCTGAAGCATCTAATTAAAAGACAAAGCAAGACAAAGCAGGACAAGTTTGTATTTCTGAAAATCTTCACAAAAAAAACATCACATTTTTTAAAAGCCATCTATACTTCAGCTTTAAAATCCAATCAAGAGTTAGGGGGACAATAATATTAACCTGTGATGACATCACAGTTCCTGCCTCCTGCTAGTGATATAAATGGTCTCTCAGAAAAGCAGAGCTGAGCTGCTAAACAAGACTGAGGTGAGCACAGGAAGAGAATCTGGGTTAGCTAAGGACCATGAGCATCTGGAGATTGTACGTTCTCTGTACATTACTATGTACGGCTTGTGTTTGCCACTATGAAGCTCAAACTGAGGATTACAAGATCCAACATTCATTTATTTCTCAATGACAGAAAAGAGCAATGAAAAGCAACTGGTGAGCATCATCCAATTAATTACTATGTAAATGAAACTATTTTTGTTTATGTTGTCATGAAAGGCATTCAAATTTATTCCTGTGATTGCAGATTAATGATTTACATGAAGTGCTGGAACGACTTCAAAACAATCCATTTCCATCTATGAGAAAAAAGCAAGGTCATCTACCTATGGTATGTAATAGTAAAAGTACAACATTATGTTTGTCAATAAATTCCAGATTTAATATCAAATACTGAAATTGAGGTAAACGTTTGTGTATAATTTTCAGTGTGAGCCAGGAGACCAGTGTGCCCTGAGAAAAGGCTCCAGAATTGGAAAACTCTGTGACTGCTCACTGCCACGAACGTGCAATTCTTTTTTACTCCGTTGCCTATAGTGTTTGAGCTACATACAGTATTCTTAGAAATTAATTTAATGTGTATTTTTTGTCAGTAATGCCAATTATATTTCTTGTTTAATATAAATTGTTAGAAGGCAGAAGGCACTGACCTGTACATTTGGTGCTTGTTTGGTCCACAAAGACATTTTTTTATCCTTGGGCGTGGCTATAAACATGACAGGCAGCGATTCTCTGGAGGCCATGAAGTCGTTCTTGATCTCAGTATAGTCCGCAACTTCACGTGACATATAAGCACACAAAAAAGTAGAAAATAACAAATACAAAGGAATAAATATATATTGATGTAAACAGAGTGAGGTAAGTGTACACTTTTCTTTGACCCCATAGATTATCAGTATTGTTCTTGCCTGTAAGCTGGCTGTTAAGGTTGACAATCAGTGGGTTGTTCCTCCAGTCAAAGGAAGCAAGCAGATGAAGGAAACGCAGGAAGCCCACCTGAGGAGAACTGAGACACACTTTTATTTGCATGATGACCTACTGACTGAACAAAGGTATGTAGAAGAAAACATGTTTGTGACTGATGAGGAGGTCAGATATCTACAAACTACAGGGAGTAGTTACCCAGGAGGAGTGAAGGGTGCTGGTTGTAGAAACAGGCACGCTACCAGTAGGTCAGCTGTGTCATCTGTGATTTCACAACTGAAGAGTTGGGCAGCCAGCCACCGTTTAGACAAACGACATACAGCACCAAAGCAAGTATGTTGCTGCTGAAGCCTGTTAATGACAAAGTGAACAAGTTGGACAAATCTTGAAAATTAAATGAATATGAGCAAACATGTTTACCCATGCAGAGTGCTTGTGAGAAAAGGCTTGTGAATAGTGGCCATTTCCAAAGCTTGAGCCTCCTCAGTATCTCTAACAACCAACATTCCATCGGCACCAATACTTTCCCTCAGAACCTGTGGCTCGCGATGATAGGCAATCTGGATGCGGAACAGCAGTCCATCCTGGACACAGACATTGTAAATTGGCATACATTAACTCTGTACAATATTTCGCAACTATATGTAAACAGTACACAGAATCTAAATAGACTGCAAACTATCCTTATAACACAATATAAAAATAACCTTCCACACATCCAGATGAGTAGGAGAGGCTCTGAATGTATAATTATGATGCTGCTTCAATAATTCTCCTAGACAAATGTGGAATGCTGCTCTGATGTGACGAATGGCAAGACGATCATGAGGCCATTTCCCACTTCCTTCCATGTGGCAGATAACTGTAAAAAGGACAGGTCTTTGAGTTATGCCTGTTTGCTTTTGGTTTACAAGGTCAAGGTAATAAATTACACCAAAAAGTAAATTTATGAATGGTCTATCCTTAATGTTAAGTTAGTTTAGAAGACTTGATATGTCTCACCTGTAATAGGGGTTATATAGGTGGGGCATGGCTTTCCATCTTTTGGTAAAAGAGATCTAGATATCTTCTCCTTATCAAAAAATGAATAATCCACTTTGGTGAGTTGTGGTGGGAAGACCTGTAAATAATTATTACAAACCTGAGAATACAATTGTACTTGGTGGTGCCAGATAATAGTAAAGACCACATATTCACGTCTGTACCTGTGTGTATCTGAGTGCCGGATGAGCTCCTTGCACTGAAGTTATGGCCAAAGGCAGACCTTCAAGCCGCCATAACTTTCTACTCAAATCATCAAAAGATTGAACCACCAGTAAACTCTCTTCCTCTCCAGTGCTGGGCACCTGCCAGGAAAATAGTAAACAACAGTTGTAGAAGGCTTCCTTTTGGTGATAGAACGACATGATACACCCCCCTAGTGGTAGAAATAAAGTAATACAGGTATTTTAACAAAATTGTATCGCTGTAGATTGGAACAATAACGTCAAACATCTATAACTTTGGCACATGCATCGTTACCATATATAAAGCGTTAATTATAATATTACAAAAAGATATGAGAAAAATCTATTTTACCTCACGGCGTATATTGATGACATCATCAACCATCGCACCAACATATCGAACGGAGGATTCTGGGACGTTCGCGTGCCTGTTTAAACATTTAATTTAGGAAAAGGTATTGGCAGGGAACAGTGTTACCGTTTCTTATCATAGTTACAACTATGACGATGTTTTGACCGTGGATGAATGCATTAAAAATTGGACACATTCCGATATCCATGATGATGGGGCGTTCGGGTAGAAAGAGAAGCAGCTCTGTTTGGGACTGCTTCAAGCAAGTCGGAAACTATGTACAATGCATGCGATGTAATGCTACATTGAAGTATTGTGGCGGGGCAACAAGCACTATGATGCACCACATGAAGAAGCACGCTGCAGCACCGTTTACAGAACCCATTAGGGAGGAGGTGGAGGAAAAGCCAATCATCTGTACTGTGGTATCCGCCGAAGAGGAGGAAGGCACTTCCGGACAAATTATCTCTCAGGCGTTTTTGCAATCTCCCATCCCCTCAACTGATCTACCGCAAAACATCGACAGAAAGCGCCTAAAACGAAGTTCTGTTTGGGATGTATTCATCAGATCAGGAGATGAAGTCTACTGCACTATGTGCGACACCAAACTGAAATACAAAAGCAGTACAACCAGCATGATTTACCACATCAAAAACAAGCACTCAGAGGCACTGCCCACTCATGCAGAGGTGAACGAGCTTATTTGTAAAATGATAGAGAAGGACCTTCTTCCTGTCAGCGTGGTTTGTGGGGAAGGCTTTCGTGATCTTCTTGCATTTACAGTCCAGAATTTTAAAATGCCAACTCCTTTTGATATCACACGTCTTATTGAGGGACGTTTCCATGAGAAAGTAGAGGAACTCCAAGTACAGTTGACTAAAGTAGATAAAGTAGCAATAATTGCAGATTTTTGGACAGGTATTCCATCTCAGAAATATGTGACAGTTTCATGTTCGTTCATATGTGAGGACTGGCAGGGAAAGTGGGTTGTACTGCAAACAGAGAAGCTGCCGTCTGACAAAGGCCTCACTGCAGAATGTGTCTCGGAGAGGCTTCTTAAAGTTGTAGAGGAGTGGGGTCTTGTTCAAAAGGTTACGGCATGTGTTCAGAACACAATAGACATCTTTCCAACTCGTGACTGTGCCAAGATCACATGGGACTATGTTGCCTGCTTTGCCACAACATTGCAGTTAGCAGTAAATGATGGACTGTCAGAAGATCTACTTCATATTATAACAGCTGCAGGGAAACTTGTTAGACACTTTAACAGTAACTCGCTAGCAAATGAAGCTTTGGAGCAGAAACAGCTTCAGATGTGTTTACCCCAACTTAAATTAATCCAATCAAACAAAAGTAGATGGGACACTATATGTGACATGTTTGAAAGCCTGCTGGAGCAGCGGTGGGCCATTAAAGCTGTACTCTCAGACCGCACAGTTTTCAACAGGCAAGAAGCTCAAGCACTTGAGATCGAAGATGACTACTGGCAAATTATTGAGAACTTTGCAACTGTGCTAGCAACACTAAAATGGGCAACAACCGCTATATCAGCTGAGGCAGAAGTATCCATTTCAAACATTTATCCAATAACCTTCAGCCTCATACAGGCACATCTAGAGCCTAAGGACAATGATGTTGAACAAGTTGTTTCATTTAAGCTGGCAGTGCAGACATCCCTAAGAAAACGTATGGAGGTAAGCATAATTTTCCACTAGCAACTGATATTCCAAAATATGCTTTGGTTCTTTTTCAATTAATCTGTTTTGTTTACAGGTTGACTCAACCGAACTGGCATCCAAACCTGCTTTAATTTCCTCCATGCTTGACCCTCGTCACAAACACCTCAACTTCCTGTCCCCAACAGTAAGATTGGCTGCAAAGGTAAAACTGCACGAACTGGTGTCAAAGTTGGATGTAAGAGGTACAACAGTGACCACCAATGAAGAACACAAGACTTTTGATACACCTAGTAGTTCTCAGGGAATGATGCCCCATCAAATGAAAAGTGACAGAAAAAATACTATGATGTTGTTGCTGGGGGATAACTACAGCAGCCCAGATACCACAGACTGTGAGGCTCAAGTAGATTACTATCTTCGAGACATAGCGCCCTCTCTGGACATTAACCCTCTTAACTGGTGGAGAGCAAATGAACCACGCTTTCCCAAGTTGGCTATTTTGGCACGCCACTACCTTTGTGTGCCTGGTGTAGCTCTCCCTTTATCGACTGAGGGTGGACAGACATTTGCAACAATGCGCACAAGACTGGACCCTGAGCATGTGAATATGCTCATCTTTTTAAACAGAAATGTGACTCATTAATGGTTTTCCATACTAATTAACTTTTTAGAAGCTATTGTCTCTGGTACAAATTGTAAAAAGAGTAAGTCACAATTTACACTGTGCCAGATGCACCTTTAATTTATTTCAAGTTTATAGTTTGTAGTAAGTCATTGTTATTGCTGTGTTTCTGTGTTAATACATACAGCTGTAGGAGATGTGTGATGATTTGTTTGGAGATCAATCTTTTCTGGCAGATGGTCTCTCCGTCCCACAAAACCGCTTCTGTGATGGCACCATCCTGGAACCGACGCAACTCGGAGCGAGAACCCCAGAGCTGGCGAAATTCAGCAGCCTAAAATACAAGCACAAACACAATGTGACAATAACTTGACTGTTTCTTAGTACACGTCTGACCGAGCAATACCACTAACCTTGTGACTGTCTGCAGGTGGGCCCCTTTCTAGAACAGAAGCTGCTAGTTCTGGTTTCAAGAGCAGGCCAAAAGACAAAGGCGGCTGGTCTCTATACTTGGGTGCTTCATTCTGTATAGACCACTAGGATAGGACAATTGAAAATTATTATAATGATTTAGTTGTTTAATAAGTTAGTGTATTAGTAATGCCACATAGCAAAGCTGCCTAACCCACCATACTAATTTTTCATACCTCTGGATCAGGAGCCCGAGAATGTGTGAGAAGTGTTATTCTCTGCCCAAGTCCTCGCTGAATCAGTGATAAAATATAAGGAAGTGAAGCATGGATGTAGTTTCCACTGAAGTCCATCAACTCATTTAGTAGGTTTAGCTTCTTACAGCTTGCCTGCAGCTTGACTAATTCACATAACCTGCAAAACAAGCATTTTAAAATTTGCAATTACTGTACATTATGCATCGCATTAGTCTGTTTTTGTCTACTCTGGTATTAAATAATATGACACTAAATGACTTGTAAATAAATACTTACTGAAACACGTGATCACTTGTCCTTATCATTGGTTTTGGGGTCATTAGAAGGCTCTGAAATCCATCCACAGTTGCATTATCCCAAAACGCCATTGAAACAGATGCCTCATGCTGCAACTAAGCAAAAGCAAAGGTTTTACTTAATGGGACATTATTAACATCTTTTCAGATTTTTTTAAGTATCAATACCTGCTTGTAGGTACAAGCAGTCATGTCAGCACATAAGTTAAGATGCCCTGATGGATCCACAAAAACGACTTGAAATGCTCTGTGGAACTCTTCAAGTGATGGCTGCATAGAAATGGTAGAAACTGTTATTCAGTACATTCAATAATTTTTTTTCCCCCAAAACACTTACAGCTGTGGAATCTGTACTTTTTGCCAGGCTAATTCCATTTTCAGTCAGGTCTGTGGTGGCTGTAATTAGAATAATAGGTGAATAGACAAGTATTATGTCTATAAAATATAAATTAGGTATATCCTACCAAGAAAGTTTAAACTGTTCCGAAGCAATTGATAAGCTGTCATACTGTTACTGATTCTGTGAGTTGTCAGCAAATAGGCCAGAAGCATTGAGGCCAGAAATCCATTAAAGCAACCAGGGCCCTAAAAATGAATTATACATTGAAATAACTGTAAACAGAATAAGCAAGTACGCACAAAGTTTATGATTTATGACCTTACCTTGTCAAGTTCTCTTTGACGAAGCCAAACTTTAAGTAAGGCAACTGCATCTGTAAAAGCAAAGCACTGAGATCGAATGGCTGAAAGAAACTGAAGGTGAGCACTGGGCAGAAGATCCCCAAGAAGGGTGCTGTTATAATGCGGTGTTGGGGGCTCATTGGTCTCTGTGAAAACATAAATACAATAAAATAAAATAAAACATTAAAATTTAATATTGTCTCCACCCATCTTTTATTATTACCAGGATTAGGGATCCCAGTATACCACTCCATCCTAATATTATTTCTCTGAGGATGGAAACGACTTGGTTTGAAGAACCCAGGAGGTGGACAGGCATGAATTCGTACACTAAAACTAGATGATTCCTTGCCTGTGAAACACATTCTGTCAAGCACTGTAGCAAAATATACACAAATACTAATATGGTTAGAATCACAACCTGGTGGTCTTAACAGTAGAACTGGGCGAAGCCGATTGCCATGTAGACAGGAGTAAAGCAATGTTCCAATTTGAGAAGAAGCAAACAGGTGCTGAGCCAGACCAGCCAGATACAGAGCTCTTTTCCTGGGATATCTTTGATTCAATGCATCTTTTTCTTGGAGGACATCCTAGAAGTGAACTGGCTTGATTTACTTTTTATTGCTATTATATAGGCTGAATTATGGTGAAATTTAAACACTGGACTTACAGATGGGATTATAACAGCCAGGTCAACCACGATATGTGGTTTAGTACAGGTGCCTAGTGGATAGCTGCCAATGAGATCAATAGAAGTTGGAGGTTCCATGTGAAATTTGCCCTTGGTGGTTTGAGGAACGAGAAGGAAGGGAACCTTAACAGCTCCAGTCAACCATGACAAATCAGCCATCTGAAAGATATAAGAAAGCAGAATTGTAAACTGCCAGTGTAATCCATAACTGCACAATACCATCAACATACCTCAACTTTTTCAGTTTTTGGCACAGATTTTAGAAGACTTGTGACAGTCTGAACAAATGTATCAATTTGACATTTCTTTCGTTCACTTAAGAAAACTTCCTTTAAAAGCTCCTCCATCTGGGAATTAAACAGAAAGAAAATGAGTCACATGGAAACCAAACAGCCATGAAGTGTGCTTACTGTGCTGGCTAACTTTTTTACCTGCATTTTAAGTAAACTACAATGAAAAAGACTCTCTGCTTCTTTCAGTTGTTTTAGTTCTTCTGCTGTTGGAGGTCTGTACAGGTCACTTCTGGACATCTTTACAGGATGATATTTCATCTCCTCATCTGTAGCAGCATCATCAACAGGGGCAGATCTTTTGGTCGAAGCCTTATCTTCTTGGAATGAGACCGATGTTATCATCTGCAAAACAGAAAGGGCGAATTGTTTATTATGGCTTTTTTTTTTTTTTTTTTTTTTGAACTACAGACATTTGGTGAATTAAAAAACTCACTGACTTATAAACTAATTACGTGACATTTTGTTAAAATAACATATATCTCCGAATTCTCTCGATAAACAGTAGCGCAGCCAACGTTAGATTCTCTCTTTATATACAGTGTAAGGTTACAGTAGAGTCAGTGGTTTAGCATAGGAGTAATTACACACGTCTCCTTACCTCTGATGAGCCATTTACGTCCTTTTGATTTTTTTTCATGATTGGTGAAGTTTTATTTACGTTTATGATCACAGTTTACAGAACGTCTCATTTGGCCTGCTTATCATGTGTCGAGCTCGCACACGCGGAAAGGGGTCATTCAACCTTGCTACCAGAACATCTAGCTTCCGATTGGTTAGAAAGTATAAACCTCCATGTGATTGGCCAACATGTTTTGTCACGTTTAGTAGTTTGGTTGCATGCGCAAGCGCGCACAAACCATCGCGGACGTGTCAGCATGTTAGTTACATGTATGTGGTCAGACCATGGGTCAGACTTTGAACTTTAACGTTGAGGACTTTGAGCAACCCGTTGCAAACTCAAAGTAATACTATTATTTTACCTAATGCCTGTGTTAGAACAGAGATCTCTGATTGGCCGACCGTTGCTCAGCAACCACCAGTGCGTACGTAGAACGTACGTCTTCACGCTGGTTTCTATGGCTGCGTCGGACGCCCAGATAATCCAGTGTTAAAGAATCTACTGCTACGTATCCTTTTTTGGCATGTTAAGCATTGGTTAACAATTGTTGACCAATTTAACCAATAGAATAGTCAAGTCCAATGTTGAAGAGCATAATCTGAACTTTGCTTTATTTACTGCTATACAGTGAAGTCGTTCAATAGATCGGTGTGCCAGTGCAGAGCAATAGCGGCTAGCTAGCGGCTAGGAAAACCTTGGAGAAACACAACTTGTGAACTTCATTGTGTGCTCTGTGTGTAACAGTAATCGTTTGAAACGTGTTATCTAACAGTAGTTAGGTTAACACCCATAACAAGTCAAGGAAGTCACTGGAGGACGCATAAACCTGTCCAATGTTTCACAAAGAAAAGAGTATCCAAATAAAAAACAGCGCATCTGCGCTGTACAACAACCTCAGTGTGCTGCGCATCTCTCCACGGAAACTCACATATTTCACAGTGGTCCATGCAAATGTGGTGAATATGGTGAGTGCATCCTGGGACGGACTGAATTACTCCCACCGCCAGCTACAGTCCAAGGAGCCTAATGTGGCAACAAGCACATCACTCATTATGCAGGTTATGTCATTCGTTTTTTTTTTTTGTTTTTTTTTTACACATTCTTTATTACTATTTATTTGTAATCATTATTAAGTAAGAATTATATATATGTATAATATATTCATTATAGGCCTCGTTCTGTGTTTTGCCTTCACGTGATTTGCTTGTGGTGACCTCTCAAAAAGGCATTCAGGTATCTAGGATTAATATTCATTCAGTTATTCCCTGTTCTTGTCTTTGTGCATATTTTTATCTTGCTGCATCATTTCAGATGTATGAATCTGATGGTTCTATAATGGTGTACTGGCATGCCCTTGACACACCTGAAACACCCACAGGTAAGCATGAAACGTATATTATAATGTATCTATATAATAATAAAATGTCATAAAAAAACATATTTTTGTTATAGCCCAGGCAGTATTTGCTCGAGGAATTTCAGCAGTATGGGATAATTACATCTGTGTGGGCAAGTATTTAAAAAAAATACCTGGCTAGTTTGAGATAAACTAGAGCATGATGATCTCGGCACAGTACATGTTGGTTCAATTTACTCCTGACTACAATGGTGCAAGACAGCTGCTGAATAAGTTGTGCATTTTGAACAGATCAAAAAGTATACCTTATAACACAACACTGGTCTTCCTCCGTCCAGGTGTTTCATCAGGGTCTATATTAGTATTTGACATTCCTAGTAAAGGCAGTAACATCACATTATCGGAGGTCCTGGAAGAGCATAAAGAGCCTATGACTGACATGGCTTCAGAGTGCTCTGGTAGCCAGGTAAGTCTGAAGTAAAAATATTGTTTTGAACAATGAACCATCCTTTATCTATTGTTATGTTTTATTGCACCAGGAGTGCATAGCTGATATGGTCAGTGCTGATGACGGAGGCAACCTGTGTGTGTGGAAAGCTGGCGAGGAGTTTCATTTACTGAATAAGATACCTGGTTTTGAGTATGTTTTTTCAGTTGTAGTTATGGGTTAGAAGTCTGTTTCCTGTTATTGATCTCTAATGATATTCAGTGTTCCTCCCTCTAGTATGACCTGCTCATCTGTGAAGCTGTGGAAGGGCACTGTAGCGGCAGGTTATGGCACAGGCCAAATCCGGTTGTATGAGGCTGTGACTGGAATTCTACATGTGGAAATTAATGCTCATGCTCGTTGGATTAACTCTCTGGATATTGCTCCATTTTCTGGTTTAGTAAGTTGTTTTAAAACACATTTTTATCTTAACACCATCTTAAAAATCTAAAAAAATAAGTCCTAAAATTGTTCCCTGTGCTGTATAGCTTTTGTCTGCTGCTGAAGATTCCCTAGTGCGAGTGTGGCACATATCTTTAACTCCTGAAACCAACAGTGTTGAGGTAATCTTGTTTCAAAAACTTTCAAAAAACAGTTTTTTGTTTATGTGTGTTTCTTAAATGCATCCTTCCTTTTTAAAGGTGGCTCATTTACATAATGAATGCGTGACAGACACACAAATTTGTGGCGCTCGCTTCTGTGACGACGATGGTTATGCATTTGCAGTGACTGGCTATGACTTGAGTGAGATCATACGATACACACAGACATAAGATAAGCTTGTGATCACTGAGGTCCATTGTACTGATGCAACATGTTTGTCATGTGTGGTACAGTTCTAATAGAAAAAGCAAAAGACTACTGTATAGTAGTCTCTGTATAGTTGTTGTATACTTTTGTAAAATAGTTAATTTAACAATGTTTACCTGTATATATAGTTATATTCTTAAATAAATTCAAATTCATTACACATAGGTTTGACCTTTGTGCGATGTTTAAAATGATTATGGGTTACAGCAAGAATGTTAAGAATGACAGGGTATTTTTATAGTATAATACAGTTTTCATTTTTTAAATTTTATATCCAGAATCATCATCAATTTATAAACCTTCACTGGCAAATCAGTTCAATACTGCACTGAAAAGCCCCTTTACTCTAGATGCCACTAGATGGCGATGAATGTAAACCTTTATACTCTACCATGTAAGTTTACATTGGGTCATGTTATGTCTGACGTGTTTGAACTGTACATATGAATGTTTTATTTATTTCATGATCATGCCTTGACAAAACAGAGCATTCTATTACTGTGACTGCTGTGTTCATGTTTAGAGACAGACAGTACTTGCATAATCATCAAGAGATACAATATAAGTGTATGAACTCTAGGAACAACAATAAAACTGCAAACTCAGCAGTTGTAGACAGGTGCTGCCCACTCATCATTGTAGTCCAAATCAGTTATGTAGTTTACCCTAACAGACATAAGTGTAATCATCTCACCCACCTTTCTGACACGCTAGAGAAGCAGGTCACTGAGGCATCTTGTTTATCAGCAAAGGGCTAAGCATTAAATCCCTTGGTCTTGAGCTTTGCTGGTTTGCAGTCAACACTGATCACATAACATCATCTGACAAGGCTGTTTTGAACCCACACACGACAGGTTGCATAATCTGAATTTGGTAGATACAGTTGTGTTGCCCTTATAGACAGGGGGGACATAGTGACAGTATTTTACAGTATTTGATTTCTCAGTTTTATGTTTTGTTTTGTTTTTGTTAGGTTTTTTATGATTCCAGGCAATGCAGAGGAACTTGAAATCCTAATGTTAAAAGCTGTAATGAGATTTCTCTATTTATTTAGGACATTCCTCAAACACAAGTTTCATGTACTAAATCAAGTACTTTATCACAAAGATCTACTCCAGTACCCTATACCTATGCTCATTTCCTACCTCTTATAACCTATTTCCAGTACAGACTGAGTGATTAGGTCACAATTGCAATTTATACAAGTATGCTGTAGAAAAATATAAGTGTATGTAAGTGTATCATACTGTCTTGGTTTGTAAACGAGGTTTTTTTTTGTCAGGGAACAATTTATTTTAGCCTGCCTGCTCTAGTGACAGTGGCTTGTCAGACTTGAACCCTGCTGGGACTGAGCCTCGCCAAGTGGGATAAGGATTGTAATCTGTATATGGTTTGTTACCACGCAGCAGCCATTTGTGTGTTGGAGGGGGACCAGCTTTTATAAGACACCTTGCATAAAGACATCTTCTGCCCAAAATAAACAAGCTACTACAGTGAGACAGACCTAGATGCACATCCAGAAACGTTCTCTATAGCCAAACTAATAACCATCTCTTTTACTGTAATCTTGTTGATCAGGATTTTTGAATATTCTTGCTGAACAAGAAACACCCTTGTCAGAAAAAAGTAACTTGGAAATATTATTCTTTGAATTGGGCGTGCAAGGTATTTGCTCTTTCAATTGGGTGTGATATTCATTCTAGTGAGTGAAGTTATTTCATCTATCCGCATTTCTTTGGGTACACATCGAAACCAAGGCATGTTCTTCTTGTCCAACGGGATCTGCAGTACTGCCACTTTCACATATAGATATATATGGGTCAATGACATGATGCCTACATTTTCTGGCCATTTGCATTTCTTCAGTTAAAAAGGTTCAAATTTCATAATAATTCACAACATATCTGTAAGTACCTCTGACCTCCATGGAATTAAATCTTTTATTTATTAATTTTTTTCAGAAATCTGTATGTATGTTTTCTGTACTTAAAGTGTTAAAATGTCATGTGGTGTGATCGTCCACACTTAACTGCTGTTTTTTTTAAACTTCTTTAAAATGACTTTAATTAAAATTACTAAAATTTAATAAAATTAATTTCCTTAAGCTGTTGTGATTTTAATGATAGACATTTTATGAAAATGAAAGCACTGTTGTGAATGAGAAAAGTAGAAATGTGTTGGAATTTGGAGGTTGACATGGAATTTTGTGGTGGTTTTCATTAATTTACATTTGTAAAAGGGATTATGAACTAGAATGACCACAGCATTTACACTGTTTTAGTGAAGAAAGAGTTTCTATTGAATAGTGTAACATAAAGAACACTCTACACTATTTCTACTTACAGAGTTATTAGTTTTTCACTATACATTAGTGTAAAAAAAATGTCCATGATTGGGTAAATTGGGTAAAATAGCCACAAACTGTGCTAAATTAAGAGTAAGGTTACTTCAAGAAAAATATTTCTTAAGTTTAAGTAAAAAATAGAAGTCCAAAAAATGTGTTACGTAGCTAAGAGTAAAAGTATTTGCGGAAGCTACTCCTCAAGTAACTTAAGTTAACATAGCAATAGAGTTATTAGTTTTCACTATATACTAGTGTAAAAAACATCAAATCTTAACCGGTGTCAAATTCAACTATGAGGAGTGTGGTTACTTCACTTTACCCGTGTTGATCCTTCTACACTTTGGAAAGTGTAGTTTTAACTCATTTTATTGTCTACCCCATATGCCATTGTAAAAGTGTTAAAATTAACAATATACGAGTTAAATTAACACTCTTGAATTTACTGTGTACATATACACTTACACATACACATATACACATACATACACATACATACATACAACATAACAAATTTAGGTCAAAATAATGAATAAAATAATAATAAAGGGTGCTGTATCTTATCATATTCAGCTATTCCAGATTCTCTTTTAAAATAGAGTATGTCTGACACTCCCACTTTCCAGTATTGTAATTCCTTTAACTTAATTTCCTCCCCCAAAAAACATACCAGCAGTGTCAATAATTCACCTTACACATGAATTCTTCTGTTCATGCTCCAGTTTCCCTGGCCAAGGTCACAACTGATTCTAAGTTTGACATGTGTTACATTTCTTTACTGTTATTCTTACCCCATTATTGAACATAGAAATTACCAGAGTAAAGATACAGTTACATAAACTTTAGTTTAATTGAAATTGCTGAAGAACATCATCAAGGCTAAATTGAGTCTTTAACCCCTGGAGAAATATAACAGTAACTCTTACCTTTTACAACTCACAGAGATGTAATACTCTCATGTTTTTCTGTCACAATAAAATATAAGGATATACCAATCATGTTAGGGCAGATTAAATTATTTCCACTATAGGCAACATGAAGGCCAGAGGTCAAGTTTACCATTTTAAAATCCATTATGTAACTTTGATCTCTGGGACAACTAATCTTAATACAGTTCCTTCTGCACTTATTTATGCTATTACTGATATTATAATATATATCATTAAACCAGGCAAGTAAAAAGGTTATATGGGTTTATCTCCTGCATATTCTTAGTGCCATCATCTCATAGGCACGGACCCGCAATAGGATTTAGGTGCATTAGTGTAAAATAAACATGATCAGACCCCACCATCTGCACTGAGATGGCACGGTTGCTTAGCATCCGTCTACTGTTTGGACTGCCTGACGTGGATGTGCTGACGTGATTTGTGTATGTGTGGCTATATGCACAGATGGCACCGTTCAAATCAGGATGGATGCAATTGTCAACAAAAAAAGTATTACATTTTTTTTTTTTAAAGATATATACTATGTAACTTTTCTGTGGGTACACCACTTGCTTGACTACATGGTGATGTTGCTTTGCCAGGAATATCCCACATTATGGCATTAAACTTATCTGTATTGTCACTATATTCAATTACAGGCATTTGTACTGCTTAAAACTTATAGATCTTGACAAACATGTATTCTTATGTATGGGCCCGCCACACAGAACTGACTTGACCTGTAAGAGAAGATAACTGGAGAAAGATAGCTGTGGAATACTCCATCTCCATGGAGACAGGCACATGGGCGACTATCCACCAAAAGCGTTACATAGTGCATCTTTAAATGATTGATAAAGAATGGTATGTAAAAATCCTATTCTCACGTGAACCTGGCAAGCCTGTAGTTTCAGAAAAAAGGATCAAATGGTAGATTTCATTTTAAATGTTTGCTTTAAGACTTTAATTTGCAAGTCTAAAACAACATATTTTGATACATTTTTACTACTAACCCTCTTGTTTTGTATTTTGATCCCAAAAGTTGACACGAGTTGAAAGAGAGTGATCCAAGATTATATTTAGTTGCGTATAGTACGGCTGGGTTCACATGATAGTCCACTGACCTCTTTACCCAAACACATTCCACAGCTGCTCTGTCCATCAACAATGATGCAATTGATATACCAAATATGGTCTCATTCATGTGCTCCATATTGAGCAATTTACTTGCTTCATATTCTTCCCAGGGGGTAAAAATGTAAAAAGAAATCTGTTAAAATATCATCTGTTACAGTCAAACTGATGCAATGGCTATTTGGTTTATTGCACATTGTGGTGATTTAATGAATTAAAATAACACAGATGATCCACAACATTTAGCAAGAGCTTTAGCTCCCACATAACCTTGGTTTTGTTTTCTTTGCTGAGTACCTGGTGCCTCCTCCCATCTGGCTCCCTGACAGGCTGCCAGGACACAGCCAGTGATATGAGCCTAAACACAAAGTGGTAAATGGAGCAGAAGTCCAAACATTGTAATCTACTCTTGGGATCACTGGAAAGTGACCTGGACATTTCTTAGCACTGACTGTAGCATTGACAATTTATTTTCCTTTAAGATAATTTATATTTTTATAAGACTGTCACAATGAGATTAAAGTTATGGTAAGAGAACAATAATAATATTGTTAATGCAAGTTACAATATCTTTTGTAGAGGTGTTATACATACTTCATTTGAATGTATTGCCCCTAAGTATTTTGTGAGAGACCTTGTTACACCTGTCCATGATATATGTTTGTTCTTTTGCATCTTTTACGCAAACTGACATCATTCTGCAATCAACAATAAAAGTCAGGTAGGCTTCAAGACCTGAAGTTGTGACACACATGGAGAGTATGCCAGGGCACAGAGAGTTAATGTGCTCATCTTTGTTTCCATGGTGACCTGTGTGTGCTGTCGGTGTGGTGACGCCAGTGAGGAGTGCTGTGCTGTGGCCGTGCTGACATGAGCCATACGTGCCAATGCCCAGCTGACTGCTCACAGTGTACGCCAGAGCCTATTCATAGCACCTCGGTAACGCCCAATGGGGACACTCACCCAGACGGCCTAGCGGGACACCTATCCCCAAACAGACTTTTGAAGAGAAATGAGGTTCATAAAGAGTGAACACAATTTTATGTCTTACCCTCACTAAAGTGACTTTTTCTCCGATGTGTAATCTGCAGGTTAGTCACTCAATCTATCTAAATTGTTAATTTATCCAAATAAGATGAGGTACAAAATGACTATTAAGTGCTTACGAGCTTTATATATCCATCTAGTACAACAAGAGGATTTCTATGACTGCTCTCTATATAATGCTAATCCTAGAATTCCCACTGTATGTGTATGATTAGTTTTGAAAGACATGATAAAAGATCATGATGAATACTTGTATCCTTGAGATGCATAAGGGATTATCCACACTACAAATATCCTTCTCACTCACTGCTCACATTAACACTGCCGGAAACTTTACTAGAAACATATTTTAGGCCAACATACAAAAGTCAATGTCTAAGCAGTATCCAAGAAGACTTGGTTTCTAGTATTGGCACAACAACTTCATTTTTGTTACATTTATAAATCAGGACAATGTACAAAAGCATTAAAGGAGTCATATTACCAGTATTGACTTTCAAGAGCTTTTAACCATGTTATATTATTTCTCCCACATCATTAGTTTACTCAGACTTGTATTGTGATACTTTCATGTTTAAGAAATCCTGTATGGTCTTGTGTATGAGGCTTGAGTTCTCAGAAAAGTTCTGTTTACATGCATGTCTTATCTCCGCCCACAGCCCTGTACAGGATATGTACAAAAAAATATATATAAAAAAATAAATAAAAAAGAAACAGACACACAAGTGTAACATATTTTTCACAGACAAGAAACAATAAATATCCACAATGAAATGCTGCTGTTATGAGGCTGCGCAGTGGCCCTGTTTCTATTATCAAGTCATTTGGATTATGTATTTTACAAAGAACATGTAAAATAAGCATCTACATTTGTGATGGATTATTACTAGAATACAAGCTTAATATGTCTTCTTTAAGCTTTTGAGCACAAGAAATAATCTGTCAACTATTACGCAATGCTCAGACAGATACTACACTGTGGATGCAAATGTGTGTGTTATGTCTGTGTGACTTTGTGTAGTAATCTTTGTGTCTATGTTATAAGTAACAAACACTGCTTTGTTTGTTTGTGTGAAATCAGCTGATACGGACCTGAGTTCAGCAGTTTGGCCCCTTAGGAGAAAAGCTGACAAACAGTGGATGGAACCATGTGGACTCTCCCATTATGCCCCCTTTGTGCCCAAGTCTGTGCAACAATTGTGGAAAAGCAATAGCTGCACACTAGAAAAGTGCTTCACAAGTCCTTTTAGAATAAAGGATGCACCTGGCCAAAACAGAGAAATTACAATAACGAAAATGTGATCAGCAGTTGTATTTAGTATAACTGCTTTTCCCTTTACAATCCATTTTTTTTGTATAGTACATTTTATACACAGGCAGTCACAGAGACAGAAAGAAACAACACTAATAAGAAAACATAAATGCTCAAAATCTCACTCATTCTCAAACAATAAAATCAGTAAAATCAAATAAGAGCAAACTATAAAATAACAACAAATAAACTGTAAAAATGGTCAATGAACACATTTTATATAGCCCTGATGAGGCATACAGGGCACACAGTATTCATCTGTGGGAGTGGGATTTGAACCGCCAACCTGTTCAACAGTGGACATGCTGTCATTGGCCATAATGTTATGTCTGATCCATGAA